ATATATAAGAAGTGATAAAAATACCAAGCAAATCCATTTATGTTCCAGACTGAAGCACAACACAATGTGGATGCATATGTCTGCAAGATAGTATGAGATACTCTAGAGAAAATACAGTATATTTCCTGAAGAAAATGCAGTATATTTTATTTTCTTGGGAGTTCCAGACATCCTGTTTCAAAACGGTTGTTGACCTCAAATATGTCACTAAATTATTCCACCACTAAACCAATTCTAAATCTTTTTAGTGCAATGGACTTCTGAATTTTGAGTAGAAAGTTCTCTTTTTGTACCCTTTTGTCTTTTATGCCCTTTATAGTCTCTTTTGGAGCCCCCGGTGGTGCAGTGGGTTAAACTACTAAGCTGCTGAACTTACTGACCGAAAGGTTGTAGGTTCGAATTCGGGAAGCAGCATGAGCTTCCACTGTCAGCCCCAGCTTCTGCCAACCTAGCAGTTTGAAAACATGCAAAAGTGAGTAGATCAATAGGAACTGTTCTGGTGCAAAGGTAATTGCGCTCCATGTTGTCATGCTGGCCACATGACCTTGGAGATGTCTATGGACAATACTGGCTCTTCGGCTTAGAAATAGAGGTGACCACCAACCCCCAGAGTCAGACATGACTGGACTTTCTGTCAGGGGAAAACCTTACCTTTACCTAGTCTCTTTTACCCAAGTCTCCCTGGCTCAAAAGAATTAATTAGACCATGCTAATTAAGTGCTATTGTGATTAAGAGTTGTTGCTGTTGTGTACCTTCAAGCTGTTTTTGATTTATGGATAAATCTTTCGAATGATTTATTCAGAGGAGGTTAGCAATTGTCTTCCTCTGAGGTTAAGAGAGTGACTAGCTGAAGGTCACTCAGTAGGTTTCTATGACTGAGCAGGGATTTGGACCCTGAACCTTGGAATCCTAGTCTAACATGTAAACCACTACATGACACTGGCTCTCAATGGGGCTTCCTCCCAGGTAGGAGTGCAAAAGAGAACATCCTTAGTAGATATCACACATTCTTAGTTTAATAGAATAATCAAATTGGAAGGAGGCCCGTGGAACATGGAGTCCATCCACAACAGGTAGCTGTTGTCTACCCTTTTTTGGAAAACACCAAGATTGGGGGATCCACCATCTCTCTACTGGTTCAACAAGAATTTCTTTCTCATCTTCAATTGGAATCTACCCTCATGTAACGTAAAACCACTAAACCTGGTCTCACCCTCTAAGGCAGCTGAAAACAAACTGTACCAGCTCTTGAGCAATGACCTTTCAAAGACTTGCTGGTACCTTTGATCTAGAGAAACTGCCCTCTTGAGATCTACAGCCACTTGCATACATTACATACTGTCCTGTCACCTTTCTATGCTTACAGTCACATACTTGCCTTTGGTCTTCTATGGGAAGGGTGAGAATGTTGGACTGGGATTTTCCTCAAACAAGTCTTCAGTTGCTTCTTACTGCTTCAGATTTTGTTCTTTATTAAATGCATTTGTATCTTCTTTTTTTAAAAAAAATCTCATTGCTTGCTTATTTTCTGTATTTTTAAATGTTAATTAGATTCACAGTGGGAAGAAGAGTAAAGCAGGATCCTTAGAGAAGAGTATAACGGAAGAGGGAATCTATCAGTTTTGGAAAGAAATCAGACTTTATTTGAATTGGACTCTGACTTAATTCATTTACTTGAATTGTGTCTGTTGTGTTTCAGTACTTGTAAAATTTCTTATCTTATTGCATCCCCAACTGGTGAACTGTCTATGGTACAGTCTTCATTTCTTATGGCTTTACATCTTCTTTTCACCTTCCCTCTAACATGCAGGCTGCAGTGTCCCCTTGTGACAATACAAAGAAGAGCATGTAGATTTCTAACCATAACAAAACTTCATTCCTATCCATTCCCTTCCCTTTCCCCTTCCTCTTCCTTCCTTTCTTCTTTCCTTTCTTCCTTACCTTCTTCCCTCCTTCCAGAGACTTGCTGCTTCCTGCCTGGGGAATCCTTTGTTGGGAGGTGTTAGCTGGCCCTGATTGATACTTGTCTGGAATTTCCCTGTTTTTTTAGTGTTGCTCTTTATTTACAGAAATCAGTCAGGGCCAGCTAACACCTCCCAACAAAAGACTCCCCAGGCAGCAACCAGCCTGGCTTTGAAGGTGCAAGACTATTAAATACTAATCAAGGTAGCTAATTGCAACATCCACACTCTCAAGCAGACAAGAGTTTCTCCCACTGGACATTCCACAGATATATAAACCTCACTTTCCTAGTTTCTAACAGATCTCAGAACCTGCCATAGATGTGGGTGAAACATCAGGAGAGAATGCTTCTGGAACATGGACATATTGCCCAGAAAACTCACAGCAATCCAGTTTTGTAATTGCCTCAAGTAGATATGTTAGCCTGTCAGGGTGATGAAGTTTTAACACAGTGTATTGTATTTTGTTTTATAAAAATATACCTACTTGCAGATTTATATATATAATTCTGAGTTATCAAAAACAGTAAAAAAAAGTTGCAAGGATGTTGCCAGCAATAAACCAAATAGGCTGTGATAACTGTATTATTTCTTACATTGATGAACCTTATGCGAGTTCATTAATGTAGCTTCTGCTGCCACCTAGTGGCAAAAAGAGCTCATGACAAGAAGGCTGCACAAGTTTTTTTTGTTTGTTTTGGGTTTTTTTTATCATGTGAGGAGCAACTTGAGAAACTGCAAGTCGCTTCTGGTGTGAGAGAATTGGCTGCCTGCAAGGACGTTGCCCAGGGGACGCCCGGATGTTTTGATGTTTTATCATCCTTGTGTGAAGCTTCTCTCATGTCCCTGCATGAGGAGCTGGAGCTGAAAGCGGGAGCTCATCTGCGCTCTTCCTGGATTTGAACCTGCGACCTGTCGGTCTTCAGTCCTGCCAGCACAGAGGTTTAACCCACTGCGCCACCGGGGGCTCCTACACAAGTTATAGACACGTGAATAATACTGCTTTTCTTTCTGCACAAGTTATAGAAAAGCAGTATTATTCACGTGTCTGACCCATAGATATGCCACAAGTATATGCCTGAGTGAAGACACATGATGGCTATGATGTGGAAGATATTCAAGCATGGCGCTGTCCAGTAGGAAGCCTGGGTGTGTAAATTTTCATAGAAGAACCTCAAAGGCATCTAGAAAGTTTCCACATTTGATGCTGTGGTAGTGATGTTGTTGAGCCAGCGTCCCCCCCCTCCCCCCAAAGGTTTATGGACTTCCACCAAAAGATACGATTTTCTCTTTCTTTTTTAAACATTTTCTGCTGCTCCAAAGTTGCACAATGTCAAAGTCGCTAGAGGCTCCAGGATGAACTTAGCAGCAGCTGTACCCTAAAACTCTATCAAATCTAACCCTTTCATAAATATATCGACATTATATTTTATGTGTAACTTGTATCATTTGTATATTGTGTCAATTCTTAAATGTATAAAATGTATCAAAATGTATCTTGGAGGAGCTACTTTCCTGTACCCTCAGTTTGCATAATCCTTTGGGAATAGATTTCATGACCAGGGTCCCTCCAACTATTTCCCAAGGCAGGTAATATCTGAACCTTTGTATATTTATGCAAGACAGATGATCTCCAAAATCAGGATTTTTGTCTATTCAAATGAGACTAAGACTCTGCCACTCCTGCGGAAGAGGCAGCTCAGCAAATGTGAATTCGTTAACTTTCTGAATGGACAACCAAGTGCTTGATTATCTAGAATTTCCCGGTGGCACAATAGGTTAAACCCTTGTGCCGACAGGAGAGCTGACCAAAAGGTTGGCGGTTCAAATCCAGGGAGCAGGGTGTGCTCCCCTCTATTAGCTTCAGCTTCTCATGTGGAGACTTGAGAGAACCCTCCCACAGGATGATAAAACATCCAGGAGTCCCCTGGGCAACGTCCTTGCAGAGAGCCAATTTTCTCACACCAAAAGTGACTTGTAGTTTCTCAAGTCACTCCTGACACAAAAAAGACCTCTTTGTTTCTTAAGTCTTGCACCCTTTGTCTCACACAGAACTGGACACTTGAGTTAATCAAAGGTTCATCTGCATACCCACATCACCACGTCCTCCCATATCTGCAATGGATTGGACCATCAAACTGTCCAACCACCAGCTGACTTTCTTCCTACCACAGTAATCTCCTCATGCAGACCATGATGTTAGGGGAACCCCCGGGCAATCCTAATGCAGATCTCTCTTTTCAGCCAATCAGGAGAAGGAGCAGGAAGTCTGAACAACTGTCAGAACTGCGTAAAATGTCATGCCTTTTTATCTGAATTTCTGCTTGTACCTTTTAAAGCATATTGCTTATACGTGTATTTGACCAAATGGTAAAAAAATCTCTGTAGTTTTGTCTTCAACCTGGAGTACTTGTTCTCAATCAAGGCTTATCTGATTTAGCAGAAACTCGCCAGGCACAGATCTCCTTATCTGCAGTCCTAGCTGAAATTTCTACCCTGGGACAGGTGGGCCATCCTCACATATAGTGACAGAGGTGGGGATAAGTAGACGCCTTCACAGTGACCATCCAGGGTGTGGAGCACAGAACTGTCTCCCTTTCATGTGCTTTTCAATCTTTTTAAATAGGTAATGGACTGAACCTCAGTACTTTCTGTGAGGAAAAAGCCATGTGCTTTGCCAGTTTGACTGTCCTTTCCAAATGAAAAGCAAAAGCATGGAATGGGGGGAATATTACTAAAGGATGCGTGGGTGGAGGGAAAATGTGGTGTTTGATTGCTTTGGTTCTCCTAGGTACAGGACTGTGATCTCAAAAAGAAAAACAAAACACAAGTAAATCTCCTTTCAAAGACATGGAAATTTTTGCTTTATTTTCACATGCCTGTAGTAGTGGAATCAACCCAATGGAAAAAAATTCACTTTATTTGCAGACTATTGTCTGTAGCAATGGAATCAACTCACTAGAAATAAACTATGCAGAACTGAGCTCCCATCCACCACCTCCACCAGCACCACCACCATCACCACGATTGCTCCACTAATATGGATGCCGTATCAACATCATTTAGAGTGGTTGCTCCACCTCCTCCACACGAGAGGACACCACCTGGCCATCAACCAGATCTTCAATTAGAGTCTTCACCCGGCGACTTGTGGTGTGCCCTGTGGGGAAGGGGTAACATAAGGTGCTGAGTCTGAGGTGCCAGTTTGGAGGAAACAAGATGTTAAGAAGGAATTAATGAGTATGGATGAATTAACTTATTGGCTATCATCAAACCAAGGGATCCCAAAGAAGTGTACAAATTGGGACCAGGTAAAAGATGACTTTAGACAATGGAAAATAAGGATTATTATTTAAAAAGAGTAAATCATAATTAAAAAAGAATAAGTGGGGAAGCAGATGATTTTCAAAAAATAGAAAAAGACTGTAAAGACCGCCAAAGATTAGATGGAAGTCTACATTTTCTATTTTTATTTTTACTTTATTTTTTCTATTTTCTTTCTTTCTTTTTTCTCTCTCCTTTTGGGCTTTCTCGTCTTTTCTATATTCTTACTTTTTGCTACTTTTCTAACTATAACAAATATGTTCTCCCACTTTCTATGTAAAAACTCTACCTTTCTCTTAAGTTTTGCAAAATCTCCCAATAAAAACAATTACAAAAAAAGAAGGAATTAGACACAAGAGAAAGCAACTAGGGCAGGTGTTCTTAAAAATATCTTGTGGCTGTTTAGAACAATAGTTTTCAACCTGTGGGTCCCCAGCTGTTTTGGCCTACAACTCCCATAAATCCCAGCCAGTTACCAGCTATTAGGATTTCTGGGAGTTGAAGGCCAAAACATTTGGGGATCTAGAGGTTGAGAACCACTGGTTTAGAAGAATAAATATAAGGACATGTTCAAGCCAAATAAAGCTGAGCAATGGGATCCAGAGCACTGCTCAGTTTGAGATGTCCTCATAGTAATTTGTCTTTAAAGTAATTTTCCAAACACTGTAGCTTACCTGGGGGAGATGGTGGTTCAGTCTCCAGCCTAAAGGAACAAATGAACACAAGTTCAATTTGGTAAACTGATTAGGTAAAATTACTTATTATTATAAGTATACATCCAAGAGTGGGGCTTGGGGAGAACAGAACCCCCAGATATGGGCAATGTGATGGCCACAGGCTAAACTTCAAGCTCCCTCAAATTTCAAACAGAAAGGCTATTTGTTCTTCTGAATCCTCCTACATATCAGTCTAAGATTATATCCACATAACAAATATAAAACTCCTTTTCTATGAGTGCGTGCCACCCAGTCTTTTCACTGAATGTATGCAGGATGCGTTAATGCATGGGGCAAGTGGGTTGCATTCACCAAGCAGATAGTTCCAAATGATTGAAGCATGGGATCTGAGCTCCCTTTCACAGAGACGATAATAAGTCTCTTATGCCCTTAGACATCTACTCATCAATGGTCTACATTCCATGAAGAAGCATTTCAAGAGGCTCATGGTCCAAATCAGACCTCAACCATACTCACCTGGATGGCCTTAGCCAAATTACTGTTTCTCCCGCCTCAACCCACCTCCCTTTTGCAAAATAATCCATACATGCTTCTAGCATTTGAGGAAAAAAGAAGATTGGCTACCAGGCAGGCCGGCCATACAGATCATGCCTAGCTTTCCTAGCAGCTCTTACCCTTCCAGAAGGCGCCGGTAAGTGGCAATCTCCTGCTCCAGTTTGTTTTTGATATCCATCAGCCGCTTGTAATCTTCAGCTTGGCGCTGGGCCTCAGACCTCAGCTCAAACAGCTCTGACTCCTTGGCAGAGATCAGTTCACGCAACCGTGACAGCTCCATCCCATAGCGGGATTCAGTCTCCACCAGGGTACCCTCCAGGGCTATTTTCTGGAAACAGATATTTTGTGAAAGTCTCATATAAATCATAACTTTTTCCCCAAAGCAGAAAGCAGATAAAGAACCATTATAAGTTTAGGATAGCCTCACAAAACTTGGAGAAAACATAAAAAAGATCTGTATTTTCACAATGTAGAGGCTGATGAGGAATTGTGATCATTTTAATCTTCCTATGACCAAGCTATAATACCCTATGACATTGGATTATCACTGATCTCTATGCAAGGATCATGACATTTGGAACATAATTTTTAGAAAGGACCTCATTGTTCTATCTACCACATCAACTCCCATTAGGTTGTTAACAATGCCATTACTGGACACACACATGTTGTGTCATTTATTTTGAACACATTGTATTGCCACTATACTAGTTTGTATGAAAGGCCACATGAGACATACACACCTTTTTTTAAAAAAAAAAACCCTACAAGCACTTCAGAAAACTGTATAAAAGTGCTGGCATGGCATCTAGAATATTATATTGTATCTGGAATTTACAACATCAGCATTTCTGGGTGGTTTTCTAGGACACTCTTAACTTTTGGAAAAAGCTGGATAAATATCATGTACCCTAAAGTCTGGTTTCACAAAATTGGTTGCAGTAGTAGCTGCAGGTTGCCTTCTGCAACAAGCAAGATGGAATCCCTAGTCTTATTAGAAAGAAAGGGAAAGGTTCCTTAGCTCATAAATTGGTGTCACTACCAACCAAATAAATGTAGTTCAAGTAATATGTTATAAAGTAACTTGTTACTTCCATGTTTTGTGGGATCAACCTCCCCACCAGAACCCAGGATGTTGAACGACTGGAAAATATGACTTTTAAAAAAAATCCCATAAATGTCACCAAATTACACTCCATGCAGTTGGTTAGAAAACATGCTAAAGATCAAACCTGTGAAATTCCAAATGTAAGTAATTTATTTTTTGTTTTGTAACATTATTTTTAGGCTGTCTTCCTTTGGCTAATATAGCCCTTTTTTTTTTTCAAAAATAGTGGACTAAATAGAAAGCCTGGTACTTATTTGATGTATATGGAACTGGGGCACTGTCAAAAAGTAGAAAGAGTTGAAAAGTGGAACCTAGGTATGTTTTAGCATACAAATGTAAGACTGAACATTAGATTGTGCTTGGTTGACCAAGAGAGAGTTAAGCAGTATGCTAGGGAAAGCAGTGGATGGTTKAAGCACAGGACCAGGAGTCGAAAATAAAGATGATAATAATAATAATAATAATAATAATAATAATAATAATAATAATAATAATAATAATCTTTATTTATACCCCGCCACCATCYCCCCAATGGGGACTCGGGGCAGCTTACATGAGGCCAAGCCCAAACAACAAATTACAGCAGAGTAAAACCGAAAACGCAAACCGAAAACACAAACAATAMACAACAACATCATAATTACATAAAACATGTGAATGCATAACAATATAAAATTACAATAAGCACAATCACAGTGACAATGGGTGGGCTACATGTAATTATTAAAAGAAAAACTAATTAAAAACTAATTAAAAACTYGGGTGAGATAAATGGCTAGATCTATTGAAACAGCAGAACTATGAAAAACAACTTGCTAAAACTCTGGAGATGTCTGAAAAAGTGAGAGGGGATGTCTGGAAATAAGATAAAATGGCCAGTAACAATCTCCCCCTAGGTTTGGGGATGCTATCAACTATATTCGAACCCCCCCACCCCAAACAAACCTTTCCCATGGAAAGTACAGTCCAAAAGGGCCCCAAATTTCTACAATTTCCCACATTTTTAGCATATCAACACACTAGAAAAATCCCTATTACTGACCGTGCTCCGGAGAGACTGTAGCTCAATCTCCAAGGCCTGAGCCAACCGTTTCAGCTCTGTGATCTTCAGTTGTGCAGCCTGGAGGGCTTCACTGCTGTCAGCAACCCGCTGGTTGATTGCATCACACTATAGGAAAGAAGAAGCCATCATTTGTGGGTTTCCCATATCAACATCTTATCGAGATGTGTGTTGAAGTTTTATTGTAGCAAATCAAAACCCCAAAGTTCTGCAACCGAAACACACAATGCAAACTGCCTTGAGTTGCCGATTGGCTGAGAAAGGCAGTATACAAATACAGTAAATAAATAAATATATTTGTTTGTTTTCTTGTCTTACCATTGATGGCCACAAGGAGAGGCATGAAACAATAGAGAAAAACTCAAAACACCTCCCTCTCTTCCCACTTGTGCTTCCATCATTTGTCTTCACAAAGCCATGATCACTGCCTAAAAGTTCTTAAGCTCCATCTTCATAATCATAAGGACTAAATACTTAAGATTTTGAAATGAAAGGGAAATTATTTGAGCCCCCAACAGTTGCAAGAAGTAATGGTAGAAACCACCCTTCCCTAAAGCTTCAAATCAAACAGATTTCAGACATCACAAAGTAGTAGCACCATCTAGTTTATTTAGAAGATTTAAACCCCACAATTACCAATGATATAATGTGCTGTAATCTATATCTGAGAGAAAGAAAGTGGTTAAATTATCTCTGAATATTCCTTGCCTGAGAAAACCCTATGAAACTCATGTGGTTGCCATGCTGAGAAGGTACTTGAAGGTATATACACACACAGTGCATATTGTCCTCAAGAGCCTTTGCCTTCTTACCATAGGGTCATCTCATCCCTTCATTTCTATGCAGTGATAGCTTCCAATGTGAACTTCATAGGAGCTATCCAGGGTGCTGAACAGTATGCCCCAAACAGATTGGGCACCATGGATAATTCCTTTGCAGTTTAGTCTCTTTGTCTGTGTGACCCCCTTAAAATGGGCCCTTTTCACTTTTCTTTCCAAACCTGGGCTTTGTGCAGTGCCTCAGCTTCCTGGCGGTTCTTCTCCATAACCTCCTCATACTGGTCACGGATCTCAGCCAGAACCTTCTGCAGATCCACACCTGGCATGGAATCCACTTCCACATTGACAGTACCCCCAAGTCGTCCCTGGAGAGACGCCACTTCCTGTGTGAATTGAAAATGCAGTTTATTATTACATAATCAACGAATAATCAACCACACATTACAAAGGACAACATTTGGACGGATTCAATCACCAGTCATGAACACCATGACCAAGACATAAATTCTTTTAAATGAGTCAGAACTGTTACCAACGAGACTCACAACCAAGAGAGGAGTTGGTTATACAGCGTCACAGGTGCTCTGCCAGATCTTTTCCCAGCATATTCCACTCTGTTCTTTATCCCATTCCATCCAACACACATCCAGCAAGAGTCTGATCCCATTTCATGCTTGTGAAACACACAGTGCCCTCCCTGGACAGTTTTGGAGATCCTCACCTCTTCCCCATACACAGGTTTTTGTATTTCTGTAGTTCTCAGAGATCTACCAAGTCTGCTAATATTTCTACTTAATAGAGAATTAAATAAAGTTTGGCAACCCATGAGCTACATCCACAGCAAGTCACAGGCTTTCCTAGACTGCAAGTATGGGGGGGCTGAGTTCCCCCTCAAAGCAGAAAGCTCAGTTGTAGTTTTGAGGGGAAACACTAGCAACAGTGGCTTCAAACTACAATAAAGGAGATTCCATCTGAACATTAGGAATAACTTCCTGACTGTGAGAGCTGTTCAGCAGTGGAACTCTTTGCCCGGAGTGAGGTGGAGCTCCTTCTTTGGAGGCTTTTAAACAGAGGCTGGATGGTCATCTGTCAGGGGTGCTTTGAATGCAATTTTCCTGCTTCTTGGCAAGGGGTTGGACTGGATGGCCCATGAGGTCTATTCCAACTCTATGATTCTAGGGATGGACTCACACACAAATGCACTAAAGCTAATCCCTGTATCTGCATTGCATGAGAATCATTGCTCTTCGAGGCTCCCAGAAACAGCAATTCTTTTTTGAACTGGGGTAAAGTGCCAGTGCAATTCAAGAAGCACAAAAAATGTCCTTGGGGCCACATACCCATGGACCACATTATATGCACATCTCTTCTAATGTCCAAGTTGTGGGAATTGGTTATATAAAAGCAACAGCATTCATGCTTGATCACTGGGCACAGGGGAAATTATTCTCAATTGTATGCCAATTTACAAGCCACTTTCTTATGGTTATGCTGATCAACAAACACTATGGAAGGATTCCAAGGGTAGATTTCCCTACATCTGAAATACTTTTTTTCTAAAGCATTACTACATTTAGCTTTCTAGCTTTCATTTTACCAAATTGCCTGTGATGGGCTCCAGTTAAATTGAAACATTAATATACCTGTTTATATCATAGCTTCGACTGCTACAGACAACAATTTACCAAGGAATAAACTATGACAAAAGGCATAATAAGCAATTCCTTGGAAACTGCAGTTGTCCACATTATCCTGCCAAATGAGAAAGAAAATGTTACCATATATCCTGTGACTGTAAAAATGGTAATCTGCTCCCCAACTTAGTTTGTTTTTAATGGTGTTCCACACAACTATCGGTTTTCAATGAGAACAGAATGACTGCTATTTCTTGCAGAATTCAAACCATGGTGAGATAAAATAGTAGAGAAAAAATCTTGAGAAGTTACTATAAATCCACACAGTGTGGATTCCAAAGTGTGGAATGTAACAAGTCAGGAATGTAACAAGAACTATAAATCCACACAGTAGCATTTCCCAAGTGTCAGGGTGTATTTTCCCCAAACCCCTCCAGTATTTTCTGGTGGTTATGGAAGTCCTATATGCCAAGTTCGGTTCAATTCGGTTATTGGTGGAGCTGAGAATGCTCTTTGGTGCCTGGTGAACTCTAAATCCACACAATAGCAATTTCTTGTTACATTCCTGAAGCCAGCACAGAATTCTGGAAGTTTAAAATGATTGATTTTTCCAGTCCCTAATTCAATCTGTGAGCTAGGCTCTGCTTTAAAGAAAATGATCAATCAGTGGAAAGTCCAGAATTTGCAATTTGAAAAAGTAATTCTGGGACACACGTTGGAGTTACAGGTCAATGGTAAAGCTATATAGCTGTAAGGTCCTAGTTTCAGTCCTAGCACCAGCAGATAAAGGATTTACAAAACACAATTCAGTTCTGTGCAAAGGGTTTCAAGCTGTATTTGCTACTTATCTTCACTGATGGACCAGAAATAACAGCAGGAATTGACAAAAGAATGGAAAACCTCGGGGTTGTTGTAAGTTTTTCAGGCTGTATAGCCATGTTCTAGAAGCATTCTCTCCTGACGTTTTGCCTGCATCTATGGTAAGCATCCTCAGAGGTTGTGAGATCTGTTGGAAACTAGGAAAATTGGGTTTATATATCTGTGGAATGTTCTTGAACTAGGTGTGAATGTTTCAAGTGGCCACCTTGATTAGCATTTGATGGCCTGACAGGTTTTAGGGTGCCTTGTTACTGCCTGGGAGAATCCTTTGTTGAGCGGCGATTAGCTGTCCCTGGTTGTTTCTTGTCAGATTTTGTTCATTTTCATGGTTTCTTCCTTTCTATTGAAATTGTCCACATGCTTGTGGATTTCAGTGGCTTCTCTGTTTAGCCTGACATGGCAGTTGTTGGAGTGGTCCAGCATTTCTGTGTTCTCAAATAATATGCTATGTCCAGGTTGTGACAATACAATGGAAAACCTCTTCAGTTGCTAGCTGGGGAGTTAATAGATTAGGTTTTCATCACTCAGGTAGACAACAATAGTCTGTAGTTCTGCCTTCATTACCCCCAGGAAACTTGAAAGTAGGGATGGGCAATGACGGAAAGTTAGGAGTCCACATTGGGAGAGTCACATTCGCACTACAAACCCCAAGAACCCCAATGCTGTGGGATGTGGATGTGTATTTGCCATAGTTAGGAGACCACATTGGACTGCCTTGAATCGTCAATTGGCTGAGAAAGGTGGTATACAAATACAGTAAATAAATAAATAATAAATAGTTTGAGCCTCCACCTTGAGCAATTTCTAGATTAGTAGATACCTTTTTCAAAATAGGTTATGACCAGATATTCCCAGGGTTTGTTTTTTTTTTTAAAAAAATAGCTTTTCTGGGACTGAAACAGCCCATGGGCACTTGGGGGCAAAAAAATTAAATCTTGGAGAAGCCTCAACGACCTCCCACATAGCCACACTTTGCCCATCTTTGATTTAAAGTATTTAAAGTAGCAGAGCACCTGATGAACCAACCTGGACACAGCATTTTATTTGAGAACACAGAAATGCTGGACCACTCTCACAACCACCATGTCAGACTACACAGAGAAGCCATTGAAATCCACAAGCATGTGGACAATTTCAACAGAAAGGAGGAAACCATGAAAATGAACAAAATCTGGCTACCAGTATTAAAAAAATCTCTAAAATTACAACAGCACAACAACAGAGAGGAAACAAACAAGGACATCTAATCACCTCTCAACAAAAGTTTGCTCTAGGCACTGTCAGGCCATTATATGCTAATCAAGGTGATCAGTTGAAACATTCACATCTAGCTCCAGCAGACAAGAGTCCTTTGTCTCACCCTGGTCATTCCACAGATATATAAACCCTTTTTCCTAGTTCCAACAGACCTCACTAGCTCTGAGGATGCTTGCCATAGATGCAGGCGAAACGTCAGGAGAGAATGCCTCTAGACCATGGCCATATACAGCCTGAAAGACTTACAACAACCCCGAGGTTTTCCATTCTTTTGTCAATTCCTGCTGTTATTTCTGGTCCATCAGTGAAGATAAGTAGCAAATACAGCTTGAAACCATGGCCATATACAACCTACAACAACTATCCAAATACTTTCTTATCAATCTTAAAGAAGTAAAGAAAATGACCACCACGTCTTCCAGCAGTTATTTATTACCAAAGCGCTCATGGTCGTCAAGTGTTACAAATAAAAATACATCCAGCAAGTATCTCCTTTGGTGTTAAGGCCTCTCTTTCCTGCAGGTCAACACACTTACCTCCTCATGGTTTCTCTTAAGGAAGGCCAGTTCCTCTTGTAGATTGTCCACCTGGACCTGCAAGCTAGCCCGGCTTGCGTTTACATCATCCAAAACTTTTCGTAGTCCATTGATGTCCCCCTCCAGGGACAAACGCATGGCTACCTCAGATTCCAATCTGGAGGGGTAAAAAGGTCTTTATAGAGAGCCAGCATGGTGTGGTAGCTAGGCTGTTAAACTAAGACTCCAAGTGATCAGGATATAAAAATACAAATATTTGTGTTTATCTCTTGTTGTTTCTGATATCACCATAGAAAATATCATAACTATTCCTTTGAAAAGATACTTTGAGTCCCCTTGGGGAGATACGCTACAAATAAAGTTGTTGTTGTTGCTATCATTATTATTATTATTATTATTATTATTATTATTATTATTATATTTATTATTACAAGGTGAGAGCCATTGTGGTATACAGGTTTAAGCACTGGACTATAATTCTGGAGACCAGGTTTCGAATCCCACCAGCTATGGAACCCCATTAGATTACCTTGGGCAAAGCACAATCTCCCAGTGTCAAAGGAAGGCTATGGCAAACCTCCTCTGGGGTTGCCATGAGTCAGAGTCAACTGGAAGGAACATAACAATAAACAAAATTTAAATTTCCAGCTTTTTTTTTTTTTGTCATGTCAGGAGCGACTTGAGAAACTGCAAGTCGCTTCTGGGGTGAGAGAATTGGCCGTCTGCAAGGACGTTGCCCAGGGGATGCCCGGATGATTTGATGTTTTTATCATCCCTCTGGGAGGCTTCTCTCATGTCCCCGCATGAGGAGCTGGAGTTGATAGAGGGAGCTCATCGGCCTCTCCCCGGATTCGAACCTGCGACTTGTCGGTCTTCAGTCCTGACAGCACAGGGGTTTAACCCACTGCGCCACCGGGGGCTCCTATATTTCCAGCTATAGCAGCCCAAGAGCATATAAGTGGGAAATGCACTGGATGGTAATGCAAGCTTGGTTAATCAGCAGCAACAGAGAAATGATTGATTAGAAAATTAAATGCATGCTCCAAATCTCAGAGCAGTCCATTACTATTTCTAGAATAGGCTTTCCGCCTTATAAAATTGATCACTTGATTGTAGTTCAGTCAATATTAAATTCAAGGATAATTAACAGGGGCAGGGAGGAAGATAAATCATGCAATCTAAGTCTGCTCACAGTCTCTGTGTGTTTCTCTTAAGGCAGGCCAGTTCCTTTTGTAGATTGGTTGTATAGGCTGTTCTGCCAAAAAGGACTCAATATAGGTAGGAACAAACTCAAGCTCCCGGTGGCGCAAGGGTTAAGCCCTTCTGCCGGCAGAACTGATGACTGACAGGTCAGCGGTTCGAATCCAGGGACAGCGGGTGAAGCTCCCTCTGTCAGCTCCAGCTCCCATGCGGGGACATGAGAGAAGCCCCACAAGGACGGTAAAACATCAAAACATCGAGTATTTTGGCACCCCTCCAACCAATCTCTGATATATATATATTTTCTGTGCGTCATGGGAGTTCTGTGTGCCATATTTGGTTCAATTCCATCATTGGTGGAGTTCAGAATGCTCTTTGATTGTAGGTGAACTATACATCCCAGTAACTACAACTCATATGTCAAGGTCTATTTTCCCCCAAAAGCGCCTCAAGAGCGCCCCTGGGCAAACTCAACTATACTGCGAATGCTTACTTTGCGTAAGGGTTGAGCTACCCCTGCCTTTACCTTTACTTAAGCATTTATATGCATAGGTAAAATAATTACAATGTTAAGACAAACATGGTTTGCCCAATGTGGGTTTCCACAGTGAGCAGGGATCTGGACCCTGGTCTCCAAAATTATAATCCAGCACTCAAACCACCACACCATGTTGGCTCTCTCCATGTTGTAATTATGACACTTCCCATCAAGTTTCTGAATGTCGGGATACTGATAAGTACAGAAACAGATACAAAGATATGCAGACAAAGATTTTCAAAACAGCAAACCGATAAGTTTTGTTTTTAAATATCTTTGCATTTTTATTTATATAGCCAATAATGATTAAAAAGAAATAAAAATAGAATTGAAGTTATATGCAGAAGAACTATATAAAAGAGACTGAGGAATAAAAGATTCCTTCAAGATTCACTCATTTGAAGACGAATCCAAAATTTTAGAGAACTGCATTAAGCAGTCAGATCATTCCAGAGAAATAAATCATCAGAAACAGATAGTAGACTAATAAAGTTGTCTCAAGACCTAGGCAAGGATGACAATAGCAGGGTCACTTGGTGGTCTCTCATTCTCAAAGTTATCATAAATGAAAATTGACTTTTGCATAGCGCAATGGGTTTAAACCTTGTGTTGCTGAACTGCTGACCTGAAGCTTAGCATTTCGAATCTGTGAGATGGGGTGAGCTTCCGTTTGTCAGCCCTAGTTCCTGCCCACCTAGCAGTTTGAAAACAAATGTGAGTAGATAAATAGGTACTGCTTCAGCAGAAAAAGGCCAAGAGACACTTCAAGCAATCATGCTGGCCACACAACCAGGAGGTAGGTTCCTCAGCTTGAAAATAGAGAAAAACACCTCCCAGAATTAAAGAGAACTGCCTCCAGAAGCCGGAAATGAAAGGAGAAGCCTTGCCTTTGTTTGTGTTTATGTGTCTCATGTGATTGTAAAAGCATTGAACGTTTGACTATGTATGTAAATGCTGTAATCCACTCTGAGTCCCCTAAGGGAGAAGGGCGGAATATAAATAATAAAATGTATTATTAATTAACAACAAATAATTAATAATACTGAATGCATAAAATATGGAGGAGGGCAGTGGTGATGAAGAAGTCTTACTTCACTTTGAAATCATCAGCAGCAAGTTTGGCATTATCAATTCTTAAAAGCAGCCCAGCATTATTCAAGGTCTCCTGTTCAATCTGGAGAAAGACAAAAGAGGTTAGTGAGGTTCCACGATGAAACTGTAGAGAACAACTAACCTAGCAAGGGAAGACCAAACAAGTAGCCACTTGTAGCCAATGGCAAGCATTCAACTTGATAATCCTCATAGTCAAACCCCCAAGGAAAATCCAGATGTCATGTCAACTAACCAATTCAGACCAGGTTCCTATTTATTTGCTGGTGGAGAATACATTTCTACCAACATTTTTATGCTGTTTGTTGCAAATATGTTTGTGAAGTTTGCTTGTTCTTCTCTGGGCATGCAAAAGTAGTTGCACTCAGGAATCACCTACTGTCAAAGGCATTGAAGAAGTAGGTTTGCCATACTTCCTTGCACAACACTTTTAAAAGTTCATAACTGAGATTTATGCCAACAGAAGCCCATCTGCATCTCCCACAGGGTTTCAGTTTACATCTATCCCAGGAACTAGTCTTTTGGAAGGTTAACTGCACTTAATAGTCTCTTCAAGATCATATTGTGAGAACTACAGTTTAGCATGAATAAAATTTAAGGAGGAAATTTATTGCAGAGGAGGGAGAGTGTGTTAAATTAACAGTTCTAGATTTGTAATCAGTGAAAGTTTCTGGAATTGTATGAAATTTACCTCAATAACACGCTACAATTGGAGTCTAAACATATAAAAGGTCAAAAGTCCTACCGAGCCCTACTTAGTAGTAGTAGTCTTCATCGTCCACTTTTTTATCAAGATTGAAACCCAAAATGGCTTGCAACTTTAAAAACTATGCAATGAAAACATACTAAATGTTGCATGTATTAAAATGATTGTTACAATGTCATTAAAATAAAAAGTAAAAGCTACTAAAGATAACACTATGTAACAAAAACTGGAAAAAAATCTGTTCCTAGTTTTAAAGTGTTATTCCTATTTAATTGTGTGGTAGTTACTTTGAAAGTAGTTGTTGTTATACTCCAGAAACTTCGTTTTTGTGGCAACCACAAACTATGTTTAATTGGTTGAGACTTTTTGAGATATTCATTAAAAAACGATACCAAAATGTGCTGCAAAAAATGAAGTTTTTACCATTTAATAAACTTTTTCCATGCTTTTATGATAGAACAAATTAGAAAATGACATGTATAGCCCAGGAACAAAAATTGGGTTGCATAGTGTAATCTGCGAACACCACATAGTGTATTCTACAAAACTTTCTATGGTATTGTTCTATTATCCAAATGGAGGCCAGCAGGGGGCACTAGAGAGAGAAAGATAGTCCATTTATGGGGAGGGGAGTTAAAGGAGGATAACAATTTCCCCTGTTTTTGCTGGTTATTTTCCCTCCCCACTTCCCATATCATAAACAAGCTCTGTTTACATGACGGGGACATGGGTTGCGGAAATAACAGGGGGAAATGGTTTTACTCCTTCAAATCCCCTCCTCTCTGTAAAATGGACTACAGTGGTCCTTCACGGTCTGCTTATCTCAGACTCACTATTTCACTGGGTTTTTTTTAAACTTGCTACCGCTTGGGCCCCATGCGGCATCGCAGCAAGAGGCCCAGGTAGTGAAGAGGAGGAGGAGGAGGAAGGTAAGGAGAGGGGGAAGAAGAGCCACCCCCTCCTCCTTACCTTCCTCTTCCTCCTCCTTGTCTTGCATAGGGCTTCTGGCTACCACTTGGGCCCCGCGACTGAGGAGGCGTTGAAGCGGTGGCAAGAGGCCCCATGCAGCAATGAGGAGGAAGAGGAAGGTATGGAGAGCAAGGAGGGAAGGTGTCATGTATCATGTTCTGCAGTTGTTGTTGGTGGTAGGCCTAGCAGTTGGTGATGGAAGGGTTAATGTAAGTCTTAGTTCTAAGTAATCTGTAAGTAAGAGTTCTTGGGTGAAAGCAATTAAGGGTGGAGGTATGCAAGAGATAGGCTGCAGCTGGGTGTTTCTGGATATAATGAGCTAGCCTTGGGACTGATCTTCGGGAGAAAAGTATTTGTCTTATTTTGGTGGTAGATGCTGCTGGTTTTCCCCCAGGTTTGTGGATTTTTGGTGTCCTGACCTATCTCCTGAACCTTTGGAACCCTAGAATCTTGAATCTTTGGACTGGCTTTTGACTACGGTATAGAATCTTGAACCCTGGACTTGGTTCACTGAACTTGCAGCATTTGACCACTGGACTGGACCTTTTGACCACGGAGTTATCTTGAACCTGCAACAGCGTTTGCTGTCAGTTTTGTTTTATATTCTGTGGCTGAGTGCTATCTTTATGTTTTGTTTTGGACTATTTAAACAGCCAGAAATAAGTGTTGTTTTAATTAAATTGTTTAACACAAACTGGGAGTTTGGTTCATCTCTACCTTAATAAGGCAGAGCCCTGGCATAGTGACAGAAGGTGAGGGGGCGTCCCTACGTCGCGGAATTTCACTTATCACGGGTGGTCCACAAACATAACACCCACAATAAGTGAGGGACCACTGTATCCTTCTCTTTCTCTCTCTAGCACCCCCTAGTGGCCTCCTCCCAGGTAATGGAAGCTTAGGACGCAAGAATAGGACGCAATGGAACAATGGCTTCAAACTACAAGAGAGGAGATTCCATCTGAACATGAGGAAGAACCTCCTGACTGTGAGAGCCGTTCAGCAGTGGAACTCTCTGCCCCGGAGTGTGGTGGAGGCTCCTTCTTTGGAAGCTTTTAAACAGAGGCTGGATGGCCATCTGTCAGGGGTGATTTGAATGCATTATTCCTGCTGCTTGGCAGGGGGTTGGACTGGATGGCCCTTGAGGTCGCTTCCAACTCTTTGATTCTATGATTCTATTATTCTAAGGGGTTGTGTGCACCCTGTAGCTAACCACCGTCACCATTTTCATACCTTAGCCTTCAGCTCGGAAAGGGTGTTGAAATAACCACTCAGATCCGGGCCACTAGCTGATGCCCGCTTTGCATAGTATTCCCGGATGTTCTGCTCCAGTTGTGCATTAGATTCCTCCAAAGAGTGTACCTGGTAAAAATGTCAAGGGAAAAGCAAAATGATGTGATGGTGAATCGTCCAAGTGGAAGTGCTGTCCTTGGTGATTAACTTTTATGTTTAGCCACGAGAGGGAGCCCCTAGTAGCTCAGATAGAAAGACAATTCATATTAACTAGCTGGAATAGTTTCAGAGATGACAAAAGGTCTGAAAGCCGAGGTCTAGGAGGAGTGGCTTGGGGACCTGGGTACGTTTTAGCCTGGAGAAGAGAGGGTTAAAACAAGACATGATAGCTATTTGAAAGAATGACATATTGAAAGTGGAGCCAGTGTGTTTTCTGCTGCTCCTCTGACTAGACATGTAGCAATAAATACAAACTATAGAAAATCTTCTAAAAATTAGGAAGAGCTTCATGATGGTACGAGGTATTTGACAGAGGAATATGCAGCCTGAGAATGTGGAGTCTCCTTCTCTGGAGTTTTTTAAACAGAGGCTGGATGGCCATCTGTTGGGAGTGCTTCGATGGTGTATTCCTCCAGGACAATGAATTGGACTGGATTGTCTCTTACACTCTATGATTCTATGAGCACACAAACAAAGATATAGTCAATAATTCAAGCAGGCTGGATCTGAGTTTAGTAGAACTTAAGGCTTAGGAAAGCATAAGCACAATTTCTGATTTTGTAAACCACCTATAACCTGTCAATCTACACACATTTAGTGCAACCTTCTCCAAATAGGTGTCTTTTTTTAAAAAAAAACTTTGAAATTACTAAATAAAATGAAATAATTACCAAAAAAAATTATAAACTACACTAAAACTAGAGAACCACTCAACCAGACAAGATGTTGTCTAAATCCGGTGTTACCAAGTTCAAATGAAATTGAAGGTTTACTTATGCCAGTTCCTAGATTTAGATTTCATGGGGGATGTTTAGCTTTTATAGGTTGTTGTTAACTGCAACCAAAAATAAAACATACAAGAAGAAGGCTGCTTGTTGAAGGATTCCTGTGCTAAAGGGGGTTATGTGTCAATCACCATGACTACTTGTCCCACCTATGAATTAGGAGTTTGAGTTTTATCTCTCTGAGGCTTGAATGTTTAACATTGGAATCTAGTGTTTGGAATTCAGAAGTAAAAGAAGAGTATCTCTGAGCATGTGCAAAGTGTCTCTGCACAACTGAGCCTCAAAGGAAGCTTTGCCAGAAGAGAGTGTGTCACCTTGAAGCATGATAAACCATTGCGGTAATGTTTTTTATTAGTTATTAAACTTCAGCAACATCATGAAGCATATCATACAGAGCTGTATCAAATGTATGCTTTTAATTAATGGGTCTTCTTAGTTTATATTGGTAAGCATTATAAAGTAAAGGTATAGATTTCCCCTGAGATTAAGTCTAGTTGCGTCCAACTCTGGGGGGTGGTGCTCATCTCCATTTCTAAGCCGAAGAGCCGGCATCGTCCATAGACTCCTCCTAGGTCATGTGGCCAGCATGATTGCATAGAGTGCCGTTACCTTCCCACGGAGAGGTACCTATTGATCTACTCACATTTGCATGCTTTCGAAATGCTAGGTTGGCAGAAGCTGGGGCTAACAGCAGGAGCTCACCCCGCTCCCCAGATTCAAACCGCCAACCTTTTAGTCAGCAAGTTCTGCAGCTCAGTGGTTTAACTTGCTGCACCATTGGGGGCTCAAATCATTATATAGTATGATGGAATTTTGAGTTTTTAATGTTTATTGTTGGGCTGTGTTGTTAAACCTTAAACATAGATAAATTGGAGGAGGAGAGAGGGACATATATATAGAAACATATAATGCATGTACCCAAGATTCCACTTAACGCATGTACCCAACAGATCCATAGTGTGGCTCTCTGAGTGCAATTGAATAACAAATCCCATCAGCCCCAGTCAGCACAGCCAGTTGTAGGGTATAATAGGAGTTATTGTTAACATCTGGAGAGCCGGACATTCCCTTGAGCTTCTCAAATATGGAGAGAAGAGTTCAAGCCTCCTCTGCTCATACGCCTAAGCACAAAAAAGCATGATACACAGATAACATATTGTGTAATTTAACCCTAAACTACACAGTACACCCTCTGTTTTGAATAACCAACAATCCCAGAAAAGAATAGGAATCCCCAATTGTTCAGGTCTTACAGCTCCAGCCAAGTTCAACATTATCTGTTCTCACCCATTTGGCTATCATTAAAAGGCCAACTTGTCAAATAAACTCTTTTTAAATTACCAAAGCAAGAACACAAAAAGCTACGCAAACCTTTTCACTCTGCATATCTCTTCATATTCAATGAGAGAATGTGATCATCCATTGTACATATAAATACTCTTGATCAAAGGTATCTTGTCCTATCCACATTACCACTCATATCAGTTCACAGGGTAACCTGTTACTATGTATTGTCGAAGGCTTTCATGGCCGGGATCACTGGGTTGTTGTAGGTTTTTCCGGGCTATATGGCCATGTTCTGGAGGCAATTTTTCTTCTGACGTTTCGCCTGCATCTATGGCAAGCATCCTCAGAGGTAGTGAGGTCTGACCTACAACAACCCAGTAACCTGTTACTGTTTGTTGTTATTGTTATTATTATTACTATTATTAAGATGTACCCCACTTTTCTCTCCAGATTAAGACCCAAACAAGTATCCTTTAGCCAGCTTGATTTTCGCGAAATCTTCCTCATATTCAAAGTCATCCTCCATGAAGAAATCTAGGCCCCACAGAAGACTCATTCATCAACATGCTTCCTAAAGTTTTTCAACAAGGTTCCCAAAATCACAAATCATAAATGATCAAAAACATCATTATAAACAGCAAACTCGGGGCTGATCTGAAGTTTCTCCAAACCATCCCACAAAGCAAGATTAAGTAAAGGTTGTCTTTGACCCAGCTTGGAAAAGAACGTACTTTTTTGAACTACAAGTCTCAGAGCTGGATTATGCCTTCTACAATTCTCCAGCATACATAATCACTGACCATGCTGGCTAGTAAATTTGAGAAGTTGTCCAAAACAGTATATTTATCCAGTCTCTACTTAAATTGCTCGACCCTACCCCAGAAAGTCTCTGCCTAATGTAGCAAAAGGCAAATCAAAAATCGTACAAACTATTTGCAAAACTTTCATCTGAATAGCACCTAATATTTAGACTGTCTCATTCATAGAGTCACCACACTCAAAGTTGACTAGATGGTGAATAACAACAAACTATATATATTAAACTATGTTGCTGCAGTCTGGAGCTTCTTAGGCCCCTTCTACACTGCCAGATAATCCAGGTTATCAAAGCAGAAAATACACATTATCTGATTTGAACTGGATTATTTATTTATTTACCACATTTCTATGCCACCCTTCTCACCCCGAAGGGGACCCAGAGTGGCTTACAAGATATATATATAGATATATAGATATATAGATATAGATATAGATATGTATATATATATACACACACACAATATATATTATATTATTAGCATAGTACAATATCAGTATTATATATTACTATATTGTACTATACCATTCTATTGTAATATTATTAGTAATATTACATGTAATATAAAATATATAATTATAATATCATGTTATTATTAGTATTACATCACATTACCTTAGTCTACACTTCCATATAATCCAGTTCAAAGGAGATAATGTGGATTTTATACAGCTATGTAGAAAGGGTCTTAGTCAACATGATAAAACCTTGTATGCTCTTACAGTAGCCAAAAGATTCATGTGCCAAACTATGGAAACATTTATCATTGATCATTCAATAATCAGAAGATCTTGCTTCATAAATGTCCAGTTCTACAGGTGCCAGCTCCACGTTTCTTCACCAGTGCGCAAAGGTAAACCAGTTCAATATACTTAGAATATCTTCTACCATGGAGATGGGGAATATGTGATCTTTCAGAGGTTGTTCAACTACAATTCCTAACAGCCCTAGCCAGTACAGAGAATGTTTGTGATTTATGGGAATCGCTGTCCAAAAAATACAAAGGGTCATACATTTCCTAGCTCTGTTCTTCCAGGAAAGATGACAATGCTTCCAACCCAGGAGAGGAAATATCATCCATTAAAATCAATCACTAGTGCCATTTTGTTTAGTTGCATCACACAACCTCTGAGAGTGCATGCACACTGTAGAATTAATGCAGTTTGACACCAATTTAACTGCTATGGCTAAATACTATGGAATCGTGAAAGTTGTAGTTTCACAAAGACTTTAGCCTTCTCTGCCAAAGAGTTCTGGTGTCTCATAAAACCACAACTCCCATGCTATGGCAGTTAAAGTGGTGTCAGACTACATTACTTCTACAGTCTAAATGCACCCTGAGAGCTGTAAACAGGTAAGTTTTAACAATGGCCACTTCTTTCGCACTAGGATCTTTCCTATATCTCAGTGTTTCTCAACCTGGGGGTCGGGACCCCTGGAGGGGTCGCTAAAGACCATCAGAAAACACAGTATATTCTCTTGGTCATGGGGTTTCTGTGTGGGAAGTTTGGCCCAATTATGTCCTTGGTGGGGTTGAGAATGCTCTTCGATAGATGAACTATACGTCCAAGTAACTACAACTCACAAGTGTCAATGTTTATCTTCCCCAAACTCCACTAGTGTCCACATTTGGGCATATTAAGTATCTGTGCCAAGTTTGGTCCAGATCCATCATTGTCTGCATCCACAGTGCCCTCCGGATGGAGGTGTACTACAACTCCCAAACTCAAGGTCAATGTCCACCAAACCCTTCTAGGGTTTTCTGTTGGTCATGGGAGTTCTATGTGCCAAGTTTGGTTCAATGCTATTGTTGGTGGAGTTCAGAATACTATTTGATTGTAGGTGAACTATAAATCCTAGTAACTACAACTCCCAAATGACAAAATCACACACACACACACCCCTCCAACCCAACCAGTATTCAAACTTGGGTGTCTTGAGTATTTGTGCCAAATTTGGTCCAGTAAACGAAAATACATCAGATATTTACATTACAATTGATATCCGTAGTAAAATGATAGCTATGAAGTAGCAATGAAAATGATTTTATGGTTGGGGGTCACCAAAACATGAGGAACTCTATTAAGGGGTTGTGGCAATAGGAAGATTGAGAACTACTGCTGTATCTTGATATCCCTGCCCTGTAGCTAATTATTTTACTGGGAGACAATCTTTGGTTACTCACCCTTCCTAGGTATGCAGCAAGGCGATCGTTCAAATTCTGCATGGTGCCTTTTTGGTTGACGTCGAGGATGTCGGTCTCTGGCCCATATCTCTGTGCCATGGCATCTTTGACTGAGGGTGGAAGGTTAGTCATGACCCCATAGATATTTGAGACTGTTTGAGGCCTGGCTATGCTCAGTGCACTCCCCGATCTGGGTCCGCGCACACTGCCAGAGAAAGTCAGGCTGCGGCTCGAAAATGTAGTGGACATGGTCCTGGTGGTGGAAGGCAAAGCAAAGCAAAGCAAAGCAAAGCAAAGGTCTGAGCCGTGGAAACTTGAGAGAGTGTCCCCTTTATATAGGCAAGCTAGAGGGGCAGGACTAAGCCACAGCCTTTCTCCTACTGGATCAGCTGGTCATTCTTCATGGGGGGGGGGGATGAGCAAGAATGGCATCTATTTTAGAAACCAAGCTGGAGGGTCATTCTTTGTTTCTCTCCTTCCTGAAGCAAATTCTCAAGGCCATTGCAAAATCCACACCTTAGCTCTGGATAACTCTGTCAATGTCAGATGGAGGTTACGATGGTATGTCCAACATACCATTTCTCATCCCCTTGTAATCCTCAAACCAGATAGGAGGGTTGGATCAAAAAAAATCTCCTTAATCTATGTGTTGTTGCAATGGATGGGGAAGGGGGGAATGCAAGTTTCATCCTGCTAGAACAGGCTGGAGACAGCAGTCAGGACACAGTGTCCACAGATTGAGAAGTTGCTTTCAAAAAAGTAATCGGTTGTGCAACTAATTATGAAGCCAGTCATCATTACTGCAAAACTTGATACCTTTAATGTTATCCATTATTAAAACAAACCTCCCAAATTGCTCATTATACTATTTGTATCTGTTACTATGCTTTTTTATTGAAAAATCTATACAAATAAAAATGTAATGTTTATTTGTGGGATTAACATAACTCAAAAACCACTGGACAACTTGACACCAAATTTGGACACAATACACCTATCAGGCCAATGAGTGACCATTACTTATAAAAACACTGAAAAGCATAGCAGAAGAGACTAAAAAAGACAAAAAACAAAAATTACATTACAATGCATGTGAAAAAAACATATATACACACAAACACACATATACACAAATATATACACACATATACACACACAAAACACATATACACAGACTGGGCCACAGCAACGCATGGCAGAGGATGGCTAGTAAAAGTAAACCTATAAGAAAGGATAGAAAATAGTTTAACATTTCAGAACCCCCACCTCTGCCCTCCAAAGCCTCCCAAAAAAGTTTTTTCCCTTCCTCTAAAGATCAAGAAAAGGGAGGGGAAATCGACATAGAAGAAGGAGAAGGAGAAGGAGAAGGAGAAGGAGAAGGAGAAGGAGAAGGAGAAGGAGAAGGAGAAGGAGAAGGAGAAGGAGAAGGAGAAGGAGAACTTTATTTTTCTACCCTGCCTCCATCTTCCCAAGGGGACTCAGGGCGGCTTACATGGGGCCAAGCCCAGGCAACATACAGATTAAAAGCAAAGACAACAGAAAATTACAAATTAAAATAGCACAAACAGCATAACAGTAATAAACAAGTATCAAGCAACAGCAAACCAATTTTGGAGGGGGAAGGAGGCCAACATACAAATTAATTAAAGGGTAAATAGTTCAATAAGGTGGATAGGAACATAAATGGCACAGGAGATATCATGGAAACAGAGAAATTAAACATGATCGGGATAATCTCAGTTTAACTTATATACATATGAATAATGATATAATATAGGAATTCAGGTTAAATGGTGAAAACAGATCACGGGACGATCGTTTGTCAGAGGGCTCATCAGTTGAAGGCACAACAAAATATCCATGTCTTTAATTCCTTACGGAATGTCGCTAGGGAGGGTGCCTGCCCTCCCTAGGGAGGGAATTCCAGAGACAGGGGGCCACCACCGAGAATGCCCTCTCCCTCGTCCCCACCAACCGCGCATGAGATGGGGGCAGGAGCGAGAGAAGGGCATCCCTGGAAGATCTTAAGGACCATATGGGCTCGTAGGGGAGGAGGCGGTCATGCAGATAGGCAGGTCTTGAACCGTTTAGAGCTTTATAGGTGATAACCTGTACCTTGAATTGGGACCGGAAACTTATTGGCAGCCAGTAGAGTTGTTTAAACAGGGGGGCTGATTGCTCCCTGTAACTTGCTCCAGTTAACAATCTGGCCGCCAACCTTTGCACCAACTGTAGTTTCCGAACTGTCTTCAAGGGCAGCCCTACGTAGAGTGCATTACAGTAGTCTAGTCTTAAGGTAACTAAGGTGTGGCCCCCATGGTCAAGTCAGACTTCTCAAGGTACGGTCGCAGCTGGCACACAAGTTTTAACTGTGCAAAGACCCTCCCGGCAACTGCCGATACCTGAGCATCAAGCGTCAGCGCTGAGTCCAGGAGGACCCCCAGACTGCAGACCTGTGTCTTCAAGGGGAGTGTAACCCCATCAAACACAGGTTGCCACCCTATACCCCTTTCAGCTGAGCGACTGACCAGGAGGACCTCTGTCTTGTCAGGATTCAATTTCAGCCTGTTGGCCCTCATCCAGCCCATCACAGCAGCCAGGCACTAGTCCAGGACCTGAGGGTCTTCCTTGGATTTTGGTGGAAAGGAGTAGTAGAGTTGTGTGTCATATGCATAGAGATGGTAACACACTCTACACTCACATGTAGAAAAGATATCTCTACTCATGTAGTCTCCCTTGCTGTAACATTTACATGTAATTAGTGATAAACTAATCACAGAAGTGCGCTTTTCATCTTAAGAAGAGACAAGCACCTCAGGCTCTGAGAATTACCTTGGAATGAATCCCACTGGAGCATTGCAGCACACCCAAATGCCTGGGAGTTACCCTGGACCGTGCTTGAACATCAAGCAAAAAGTGGGTGCTACATATAATATCATACGAAAGCTGACTGGCACGGCTGGCGGGGACGAGAGATAGGGCCTTCTCGGTGGTGGCCCCTCGGCTGTGGAACGCCCTTCCCACGGACATTAGATCGGCTCCATCATTAATGGTATTCCGCAAAAAAGTGAAAACCTGGTTATTTGAACAGGCGTTTGAATAGACAGTGCAATGAGTGTAATGAACATAGGAATGGAACAATGGATGACGAATCTGGATCATGGTTTAGTTATGAGATGTCAGTGGATGGTTATTGTTGTTAACTGTTAATGTGTTTATGATGATAATTGTTTTTATATACCGTGTTGTTGTAGCATTGAATTTCTGCTGTTCTTGTTGTTAACCGCTGTGAGTCGCCTAAGGGCTGAGAACAGCGGTATACAAATAAAGTAAATAAATAAATAATAAATAAATAAATAAACCTTGGGATCACAACCAGATACAGTGAAGACATCTGTCCTTGTGCTTTGCTACTCTGCTGCTGAGTAGGCATGCCCAGTGTGGAACACATCTCACCACGCTAAAACAGTGAATGTGGCTTTTAATGAGACATGCCACATTATCACAGGATGTCTACACCCTACTCCACTGGACAAATTATACTCTTTAGCTGGTATTGCACCATCTGATATCCACCGGGAAGTAGCAGACAATAATGAAAGGATCAAGGCAGTGACATCTCCGGCCCATCCCCTGTTCAGATATTAGCCAGCACGCCAAATCCTTAAATCAAGAAATAGTTTTCTAAGATCTACAAAGATACTCCCAGAAAGACCTCAGCAAGCAAGAGTCCAAAAGTGGCAAGTTAAAACCTGGAACCTCAAGTCATGGCTGATACCAAATGAGAGACTCCCCCTGGGCACACAGAAGACTGGATGACTTGGAAGGGACTGAACAGACTGCGCTCTGGCACCACTAGATGCAGAGCCAACCTTAAGAAATGGGGCCACAACATGCAAGTGTGGAGAAGAGCACATCACAGACCATCTACTGTATTACAATGCAGTCTGAGCCCTGCCTCATGCACAATGGAGGACCTTCTTATAGCAACACCAGAAGCACTCCAAGTGGTCATCTACTGGTGAAAGGACATGTAATAGAATGCCAAGTTTTTAAACTTTGGGGTTTTTTTAATACATTACAACTGTACTCTTCTGATACGATAGATAAATAAGTGGTTACTTTGCATCATTACACCATTACAATACCTGCTGCCCACCATCAGAAACAGAGAAAAGTAACTTTTAGAGCTAGAGTTAAAAGCTGACTAGGGGGACCCTGGAGCTGTAGGTCAAAAAGTGTTTAATGTCCAACATGAAATACGAACATGTCATTCTGGTGTAGCCTATGAACACAATGCCCTTCCTCAAACATGGCATTCCCCTTTTCACCCGCACTTCTTTTGCAACGAAAAAAGATAGTTATTAGCTTCTTCATAGCAGCCGACAAAGCAGAGAGAACAATGGCAGCTTCATTCTCATCAAAGAGATTATAAGAATAAACTTTACTTTAGTCCCATAATCTTTTGGGTGGCAATTACGCTTTTGATGTTCAACATCTTAAAAACAGAAGTGCTCCTACTTTTTTAAAAGCCATAAATTTTCACCATGCAATAACTTCTGTTCAATAATGCTCCAGGAAACACAACACCACCATGTTATTGTGTGCCTTCAAGTCTTCCCCACTTAGGGCAATCCTAAAGTGGCCTTATCACAGGGTTTTCTTGGACTTTTTTTTTTCCATGTCAGGAGCGACTTGAGAAGCTGCAAGTCGCTTCTGGTGTGAGAGAATTGACCATCTACAAGGACGTTGCCCAGGGGATGCCCGGGAGGCTTCTCTCATGTCCCAGCATGGAGCTGGAGCTGATAGAGGGAGCTAATCTGCGCTCTCCCAGGGTTGGATTCAAATAATAATAATAATAATAATAATAATAATAATAATAATAATAATAATAATAATAACACTTTATTTATTCCCACTACCATCTCCCCAGGGGACTCAGTGCGGCTTACATGAGGCTGAGCCCAAAATACAACAATACATGCAGTAACAACAATACAAGCCATTTAAAAACAACAAAACAATAAAACAATAACATAAACATTATCATTAGGACACACTTTAAAATCTATGGGTAGGCCAAATGTAATTAGAATTAAAAATAATGCTGGACACGGGCGAAAAAGTGATGGGATGGTTTGTGGAAACATACAAGCAGACCTAAAACAGTATAAAGTGCTTTGGAGGACAAAGTGCTATGGGATCATTATTCTGGGAAGGCACACTGGAACAACCACGTCTTCAAGCTCCTTCTAAAGACTGCCAGAGTTGGGGCTTGCCTGATGTCC